GCGAAGGTGGGTGTGATGTCTGAGAGGCGAGCAAGGCCGGCTTCTGACTATAGAGCATCTATTTTTTTCTTTCTCATTTGGAGGGACCTGCTGGTACTGAGAGATTAAATCATGGATTGATCAGAGAAGGTTTTCTACAAGAGGGACTTCAAACCGTAGCCTTTACTGATAAGAAGAAGCCATCCACATAGAGAAGGGCAAAGGAGGGTGGAGGCAAGAGAGGGAGGAGGAAACTTGAGGGCAGCATTCCCACAGGAGGGAAGCAGCAAGTGTGAAGAAAAGGAAACACCCATTACACCTGGGAGGCATGTTTTTAAAAACCACCAAGAGCGAGGCTCTTTGCTTCAGTGACTCTCAAGGGGTTGGAGGTGGTGCAAAACCAGAACCTTAGAACATGGGGAGTACAATTGTGGAAAGCCTCCAGGGGATCGTGGTGTGGTAGTTCTCCACAGGGGCCGTCCCTCACTGCCCCCATCCTCCCACACTTTCAGTTCGATTATATAGGCTTTATGTGGAAAACCCAATACTAGTTGATATTTTACTATGACTCTACGTGTTATACAACAAAATTGCTTGTCCAAAAAGGTTTGCCACCATCCAGGGAGATACCGGGGTTGTTAGTCAGTGAGTGGGCTGTCAGTGGCAGAAGATCAATGATCCTAGATATAATGTTCTTTACTCGCTTGAAACTAGATAGACTGCAGTGATTTTTTTTTCCCAGACCATCTAATAGACAACATATTTGAGCTAGGTCTGCTCGCTTGAAACTAGACTGCAGTGATTTTTTTTCCAGACCATCTAATAGACAACATATTTGAGCTAGGTCTCCATTTTTATTTTATAGTGAAAAATGTCTAATATATGGTTTTATCACTCCATGCCCTGTGCATATACAATCGACGTGCTTGAATGTTATACAATAGTTGGTTTAAAGACACCATTGTTACCAATTGGAAATTTAACATACCAAAACAAGAAAATATTAACAATGATAAACACCTCAGACAGCAGAGAATAGTGGTGATAGGCAAGGACTCTGGAGCCAGACTGTCTGGGTTCAAATTATACCTCTACCACTGTGGACAAGTTATTTAGTTCATGTGCCTCAGTTTCCTCATCTGTAAAGTGGGGATAATAATGGTACCCACTTCAGAGGTATGTTGTTGAGATTAAAATATATATTTAGTTTTTAGATCTTGCTTGTGATAAGCACTGTATAAGTGCTTTACTTTTAATAATGATGGTGACAAGGTCTTGGAAAATAAAATAAAAAGTAGTTAACACCACATTCCTATAGTAAGTGAGTTAATGATGAACTAACCAGTACACATAAATGTTAGCAGATCTTATTGAAAAATTATTTCTTATAACTCTTCTCTTAGTGCAGGGCAATCATGTAATAGATCAGTCTTTGGCACCGTCTGGAAGTATACATTTAATCTAAAATATTTTTTCCTCTCTGCCTGATATGCCTGATACTTCCAGGCCTACCATGGATAGAGGTTTTAATACATTCTGTGACTGAATTTGTTGGACTTTGCCTTAAGAATGCACCAGAAGTCTCAGATTGTTAATTGAGGCAACCAGATTTAGTGTCACTGAAATAAGTGTGATAACAGCTTGATCATGAAAAGCTTTACATAAAGAAAACACCTGCCTGGTGTTAATAAGATACATGAATTTCAGACAACAGAAAACCAAAGAAAATTACCACTCTGTCTATCTTGATAAAATATCAACAGAGGGTTCCCTATTTATTTCACTATACCTAGCATTTTATTTGAATTACTATGAAATGTTAACAGAAAATCAATTGGATTGTGAGGTCCTAACGGGTGAAGAGTTTTTAAATACTGCTGAATCTTTTTATGTACTAACAGATTTATTAAGGCAATATGAAAGAAAAAGAGAAGAAAAACGTTTGTTTTGTTCTAGATATGTGTTACAACAAACTAGAGTGATCTAAGAAGAAATGTCAGGGATCTTAGTAGACCGGGATCATTGGGCATTAACTTCAACATATGCACATTTTTTCCTCTCAGGGTTCAGAGCCTTAATAGAAAAATGTTGAAAATTTTTATCAATTGCCATTTTTTATATCCAAGAGAAAAATCTTTTAAAAATTGAAAACATTATTACAAATAAAGATGAAAGATTGGTCAGGTGGCTCAGTAGGTTGAGTGTAGTCCTGTACACTAAAAAGGTTGCAGGTTCGATTCCTGGTTGGGCCATGTACAGGAGGCACCTGATTGATTTTTCTCTCATACATTGATGTTTCTTTCTCTCTCTCTCTCTCTCTCCCTCTCTTCCTTTCTCTCCCCCTCCCCTTCTCTCCCTGAGAAAATCAATAAAAAATATCCTCAGGTGAGGATTTTTAAAAAATCAAATGCTATGCTTCTTTTCCTGTAAACATACCAATTGAAAGTACCAGAAGTAAAAAAAGATTATTCTGGTTTTGATGTTAAATAATACAAGATTTGTAAAATCATATACACTGAAGTTAAAGACCACATTCTATCTAGCCAGTGTTTTTTGTTTGCTTGTTTGTTTAATATATAGAAAATAAACTCTCTTATTAGACTGCTTTCTATTTTTAATGGATGTGTTTATACATAATTTAGTAAGCAAAGTTTTGGTCTGTTTCCTTCCTAGTTTTTTGTTTTGTTTTGTTTTGTTTTGTTTTGTTTATCTGTTTCCTTCCTAGTTTTTTTGTTTTGTTTTGTTTTGTTTTTCTTTCACTTAAAAATTATAAGCATCACCATGGCTGGGAGGTTTGAAGCATTGGGTGCACCAGAAAGGTTGCCAGTTCAATAATCCAGTCAGGGCATATACCTAGGTTATGGGATCGATCCCCAGTCAAGGCATGTTAGGGAGGCAGCCAATAGATGTTTCTCTCTCTCTCTCTCCCTTCTCTCTCTCTAAAATCAAAAAACATATTCTCAAATTATAGATAGATAGATAGATAGATAGATAGATAGAAAAACACATTCTCAAATTATATATAGTTAATTTTCATGTATAGTCAAAATTTAGTTGACTGCAATGAAGTGGTATAAAGAAAATTTGGATAATCAAAATCTATAGTACTACAAAAGTTTAATTTGTTAGAGGGTCAAACTTCAACTTACACTGCATAAAACTATTGGCCAGACCTGCAAGGTAATAAACCAACTGAAAATAGGCATTCCTTTCACCCTTCCAAAGATTTGTATAACTTAAAGCACATGAATAGCACTTCATAGTTGTGAAGCACTTTTACATATATTATCACTTTTTATCTTTCCCACATCCTTAAGGGAAGGGACATTATAGACATAGAGAAGGTTTTATTATCTTCACTATATATCAACTAGAGGCCTGATGCACGACATTTGTGCACTTGGGGCGGGGAGGGGGTGGGGTCACTCAGCCCATCCTGCGCCCTCTCGCAGTACGGGATCCCTCTGGGTATGTCCGCCTGCTGGCTTAGGCCCGATCCCTCTCAGACATCCCTCTCGCAGTCCAGGGCTCTTGTAGTCCGGGACCCCTTGCTCCTTACCGCCCCACCTGCAGCAGAGGCGGCAGAGGCTCCTGCCACCACTGCTGTGCTCACCAGTCAGAAGCCGGGCTTGCTGCTCCATGGGAGCTCACTGACCCCCAGGGGGCAGCTCCTGCATTGAGCATCTGCCCCTGGTGGTCAGTGTGTGTCATAGCGACCGGTCGTTCTGCCTTTCGATCGATTTGCATATTATGTTTTTATTATATAGGATGAACTGAGGATCAAGCATCATGCTCTTAAGTAAATGCAGGTAATTGGCTCTAAATATATTAAGTCTTGGATTTCAAGCTTTATTTAATTTATTGTGATGCATTGTGAAAGCCTCTGACCTTTCCCACAGTATCAAGCATCCTCTTAAGTAAATGCAGGTAATTGGCTCTAAATATATTAAGTCTTGGATTTCAAGCTTTATTTAATTTATTGTGATGCATTGTGAAAGCCTCTGACCTTTCCCACAGTAACTCCTCTAGTCAGCCTTGTATCCTTACTGCCAATGTCCACATCGTTCTTTTTCCTATTTCTGATCTTCGAATCTTTGTCTTCACTTCCTCACTCCCTTCATAAATCCCTGTCTGCAATGTTGCTGCTTTTCTTGAATGTCCAAATGGTAACTACATCATTCAAGGTCCAGCAAAACTTCCACCTCTTCTGGGAAGTCTTCAAGCTCTCACCATTCTTATTTAATATAGCACTTTCAGGGATTGGTTCTTATGTTCTGAAGTTGTTTCATTTACGTTTATAAGATTCTCCTACTAGATTATAAACTTTTGAGAACAGAGACCAAGTTATATACTTTGAAATTCAGAGCACCCTAGCACTGGATATATATGTAATAAATTCATGATAAGTATTTGGCTGTTATTTAATCTGTCCAATAGAGTCATTGTCTGCTGAACTTACTGTATCTGTATTCCAAACATGTGACTTATAAGTTAGCCTGTATAATGACTTATTATAGTTGAGTTTAGTATGGTCTTTTCAATATGTTCATATACAAATTGACCCTAGCATTGATTTCTAATGGCAGTGACGCCAAGGCATATGGCCTGTGGGATCAATTCAACTATGTATGCCTGATGAATTCCCCAAATAGAGAAGATATTTGACCCATATATCAGTATTGAGAACAGGAACAGGAAACATTATGCAGTGATTGCTTTTGCATAGAATTACATTAGCATCACCTATTGGGTTATTCATAATTTCTCAGCAGATCAGGGATCTTTAATGGTAGTTCCTGTGGAACAACATATGAAAATGCATTCTGCTATTCATTATAAATGATGCTGACCAAGTATATTGTCATTACAAATTTAATTTTTAAGAAAGAACTCTCCATGTGAAAATGACACACTTGAGAGCCGTTGCATTAAAAAAAAGTTGGTACTGCGTAACAACTCAATCTCTTCTGGAACATAACTATTCTGTTTAAACAAATAACTACTTTTGTTCATATTTTAAGGAGAATTTGGAGAAGTCTGTAGTGGGCGTTTGAAGACACCAGGGAAAAGGGAGATCCCAGTTGCCATCAAAACTTTGAAAGGTGGCCACATGGATCGGCAAAGAAGAGATTTTCTAAGAGAAGCTAGTATCATGGGTCAGTTTGACCACCCAAATATCATCCGACTAGAAGGTGTTGTCACAAAAAGTAAGTACTGATTTCCTTTATTACTTCTTTTATGTATTTATCTCTTTTCTTTTTATTTAAAAATCTTAATTACTATAGCCATTAAGGGGATAATTTAGTTCAGATATCATCTTCTGATATTGTCTCTCAGAGTCTTGATATTAAGCTATGACATTGTCAGAGTTTGCATTGGTCACCAAACTACTTTGAAATGGTATTTATTACCTTTAAATCATTTGCTAATTTAACTTGAAGTAATGAATCAAAAGTAAAGGAATATATATATATATCTGTATATATATATATATTTCTATAAGAGTTAATTTGCATAAGGATATGCTGATTAGCCAATGGGAAGGGTAGCGGTCGTACGCTAATTGCCATGTTTCTCTTTTATTAGTGTAGATGAACTGAGTATCAAGCATCATGCTCTTAAGTAAATGCAGGTAATTGGCTCTAAATATATTAAGTCTTGGATTTCAAGCTTTATTTAATTTATTGTGTTGCATTGTGAAAGCCTCTGACCTTTCCCACAGTAACTCCTCTAGTCAGCCTTGCATCCTTACTGCCAATGTCCACATTGTTCTTTTTCCTATTTCTGATCTTTGAATCTTTGCCTTCACTTCCCTTCATAAATCCCTGTCTGCAATGTTGCTGCTTTTCTTGAATGTCCAAATGGTAACCATCATTCAAGGTCCAGCAAAACTTCCACCTCTTCTGGGAAGTCTTCAAGCTTCACCATTCTTATTTAATATAGCACTTTCAGGGATTGGTTCTTATGTTCTGAAGTTGTTTCATTTACGTTTATAAGATTCTCCTACTAGATTATAAACTTTTGAGAACAGAGACCAAGTTATATACTTTGAAATTCAGAGCACCCTAGCACTGGATATATATGTAATAAATTCATGATAAGTATTTGGCTGTTATTTAATCTGTCCAATAGAGTCATTGTCTGCTGAACTTACTGTATCTGTATTCCAAACATGTGACTTATAAGTTAGCCTGTATAATGACTTATTATAGTTGAGTTTAGTATGGTCTTTTCAATATGTTCATATACAAATTGACCCTAGCATTGATTTCTAATGGCAGTGACGCCAAGGCATATGGCCTGTGGGATCAATTCAACTATGTATGCCTGATGAATTCCCCAAATAGAGAAGATATTTGACCCATATATCAGTATTGAGAACAGGAACAGGAAACATTATGCAGTGATTGCTTTTGCATAGAATTACATTAGCATCACCTATTGGGTTATTCATAATTTCTCAGCAGATCAGGGATCTTTAATGGTAGTTCCTGTGGAACAACATATGAAAATGCATTCTGCTATTCATTATAAATGATGCTGACCAAGTATATTGTCATTACAAATTTAATTTTTAAGAAAGAACTCTC